CATATGTTATACATATATCGGCACATTTTTTTTAAGCTAACGAATATATCGAAATCTTCAAGATGAAATTTTAAGAGATAGAGTTTCTCGGCTCTCTTAATTTTTCACAGAGATGATGGTCGATTATGCAGTACGATTCATTGAAATGCGAACACCAGGAGCGATTTAAATCGCTAGCTTATATAATTCGAAAATTTTTATCGAAAAATTCGAATTAAATTCCAGAAATCATGCCATGTGTTTATTTAATCAACGCGTGATTAATTGTTACACATATACTAATTGTTGTTACATATACTATATAAATTCGCACGATAGAAATATGTATATATATATAGTTTTTTATGGTGTTCTAATTTTATTAAATAGTACTACACATGTGAAAATTTTCGGTCAGGTAGAAAACAATCAAACTTTGCTGAAACGGGAAAAATTAATCGCGACGGAGATGTCTTGAAATAATTCGCGAGACAGAATAGCGTGAATCTACGATCAAAATTCCGAGTTACGCGCGAATTGTGATTATTCGGACCTACTCTATCCAGGCACTAATATCCTACCAAAATGTGATTTGAAATTTGCTCGTCTTTCTCTCTTTTTCGTCATTGCGTGTTCGAAAATTCTGTCGCTTCTTTTTTTTTTCTTTCATATCCCTCATCAAATTGTTCTGTGTGCAATAGTGTTTCTCCAAAATTCTTTTGTACTCGTCTAAAAGTAGGCGCTCTCCTCATCTGCTTATTTTGTTATTTCACTGTAGCGGCGTTATCATTATTCACGCATCCGTTGCTAATCATCTCTCCAAATGTGAAAAATAATTTTTTGAAAAAAAAAAAAATGTTTTGCTTGACGTCAATAAACGAGATAGATTCATATAAAATTGTATCGAGCAATGAAGAAATTTACCATCTCATCAGACTATAAATAAAATCATTTAAATAATTTTCATTTCGAGATAACGGGAGTAATGATATCACGATTACACTTTCCGTTTCTCTGCATTTGTAGATCTTTAGAACGTTTTTGATCATTCTTAATCATGTACGTTCTAAATGCAGACGCGTATACCCCTCCTTAGAACACCATAGATCAACAGTTGGATTTACAGATTCATCAGTAGTAATTGGTTTGTCTAAATTAACAGATGCATGCATTTAATCATGTTTGCGTGTCAATAATTCTCGATAAATTTACTCGATAAATTACTGCTGTTTCTGTACTGACTCTCGATCTGATCTGCTCTTCCACTTCACCAACTGCTTAATAGATGCAATGGAAAACATGCATGCGTAGACACCTCTGCATATATCATCCCGCATATATCATAAATTGTCGATACATCACATATGTTTGTGCGCAAAGTAACACAACAAAGTAATGTAACGAAAATCTTCATGGCAAAGTGTCATTTTTCACAATTTTTGTAATGCAATAGCGGGATTAAATTTCAACTTCGAAATATGTGCAGATTCAAGCAGGTGAAATATCTCCTTAGCTCTAAACCTGATATAATCGAAAATGGCATTGATACTGACGAATATTCTGAAGCAATCAATTTTAGCAACTCATTATTAATTAATTATTATACCGACTCGAATTACTATTCAATCTCAAATTAAGAATATTTAAACGTGTGCTGTTCAAAAATAATTGTTTACTATCGTTACGGGAAAATATTACACACTTGCAATTTAATACGAAATTAATCGTCAAAATTTTTCAAATTCGATTCCAGTTTGTCGTTATTAAAAACACTGTAGTGAATCAATGCATACAATATAATACATGACAAGAGACTAAAATATGATAAATTGTCGTGAATGATTTATATCGATTGAAAGAAATAGAATGCATCCGCGAAATATAAAAATTATACTAACAGTTATGAAATTTGTTCCATTTCTTACGTCATAATTGCATATTAATAACCGATTATTCCTTTCGAGTATTAATTAATTAATTCGTTAATTAATTACGTACTTTTGATTAACAGTAACATAACAAGCTTTGCAAATATAATAAAATAGAAATTCACAAACTTGGCAGATAAAAATAATAGCATGATATGATACGTTACATTTCTCAAAGATTCGTTAATTTTTTTTTACTGCTATCGACACATACCATGCTTATTTTAACTAACGGAAGCAACATTACGAGATATATTTCATAACGAATATAATTTGCTGATTAGCACTTTTTATAATACCAACATTAAAGTAGGCAGTTTTAGAATAAAAATTTCACAAATTAAAATTTAATTTAATCAGTGCATTCTGTATTATTTATATAAAATGTTGATAAAATAAATGCTTGTATTACTAATTCCAATTTCAATGTTAATTGCAATTTCGCCAGATATACAATTGGTTTTGCTGATATGTAATATACAATAAAACCTTTTTATGGACCGCAAAATTATATTACCTAAATAAACAATAAAATAAAGAATGAATACAAGAGTTAACCTAACGTCCCGAAATAAAAAGTAAATAATTATAATTGAACTTTATGATTTACTAAACACAATTGTTAGAAAGATAAGAGGAAACTGGACACAATATTTAAGATTCTTTTTTAATAATAATAAGCAAAATAAAAATTGCAGAAAATTGTAACAGAAAAAAGCTTACGATTTTGGATTGATATTTTATGTGCCAGAAAAGAAAGTTGATCTAAATTTCATTCAAATCACAATTATGAAACTGTATGCATTCAATTCAAATATATAAAAAATATGCATTAAAATATTTTTATATTTATAAGCATTCAACACATACATATTATTATATAATGTAGAGAATATATGATAGAAGAAAAATTACTCTACAACTAAAATTTCATTCTAATATGATAGTTAAATTTTATGGTTCATAATTTTATGTAACTTATATATTCAAATCTAATTTTTTAGATTTTAAATAGAAGATAGTAAACGTTCTGTTAATGTAATAAAAGAGAAGTAATCAATAATAAAATTTACAGTTTCACGCTATAAAAATTAAGACTGGTCCGAAAAAATTTTGATAATAAAAAGTGGATCTTTACATTTAATAGATTTAAACATTTAATGAAAATATTGTCTGGCGAATAAGGCATTGCATTTTATCAGATCTAGTGAACAAATATTAACTATAGTAAACTTTCGATGAAATTTCTAAGAATTATCTTATGCGAAATTGTAATAAATAAATGATCATCATCATCGAAAAATATTACGATAAAAATTACGCTATTGTAATTCAAACATCTGTTTGTCCAATTTGATCAATGAGGATAGATCAGTTTTTTATTCATCTCGGAAAAGCGAAAGCCATCGATCATATCAAAAGCAAGAATTGTCGATCAGCGTAAACACTGCATTGATTTGGTCGGAGAATCCATTCATACGTGAAATAGATTTCTTAAATAAGATTCCAAAGAAATTTATGTGTATGTGCATGTAAATGTCTGTGAATATTATTATTTTGAATACTACTGGAAATATCTCAGTGAAAGAGACTATATATCGCGATATTGACTTCTATACTCAAGATCTAATTTTAATTTTTAAAATTTATCTATCGAAGATAATATCTATCCAAGAAATAAATTCGCTTATAATCATTAAAAATGAATGACAAAAATATAGATTTATCCGACACAACCATCTATTACAATCGAAAAATTTATTAGATCTTGCATGAATTCTTACTGTACTTTAATACCGTAAAACTTCCGACTGTGCCACATGAGAGTAGCCTGTGTGTTTTCCAAATTTGTGTTATAATACGTTTCTGAAATTGGTTACATTATAAGAAAACTTACATATAAATAGAAAAAGCCTTTCCAAACACATACATTTCTCACAGAGTTTATTATTGAATGTATCATTCGAATTTATTTTATATTTTCAAAACAGCATGATACATTCTCTGTGTACTTTATTCTTCATCCTACCGAATTATCTATTATTAAATTATTACTACATTAATTTAAGTTAGTAATACTTTGCTGAATAAAATTCAAATCGCATGGTAATAACATAAATTATATTTACATTTAAAAATAGACTTGAAAAAATAGCGACGGCTATTCGATAGTAAATAATGGCAGTTTACATTACGGTTACTAATATATATTCACCGATATTTCAACAAGAAAATATTCCCATTATTTCAACGAGAAAATAATCTTATTTGCTCCTATCTTTCTTGTACGATTTTGAAGAAAAAGAAGAAAATCTTGAAATTTTCTAATTTCATATGTCAATGTCTTGTCTCTGGGATCGATTTGTTCTATTTTAAAAAAATGCAGAAATTTTAATAGATAAAGAAAATGTTTGAAAGAAAATTGAAAGAGATTGATTTAAAATAAAATTCAGACTTAAAAGCACACGTTTTTAAAAGGACCTTTTTTTAAGTATCGAGAAACTCTATACTAATAATTATGATATCCAGCAATAGAAGCAAATCATAAGAATAGTTTCATGTTGTTTTTAATGTTGTGTTACAAAGCTTTGTTAATCTGAATCACAAATTTTTAATATCCGAATTTTATATTATATAGTGATATAGTGACTATTCCAAATTAATTCTGATTGCTTCAGACGAGTACAAAATATATCTACTTTCTCACAATGCATAAAGCGGCCAACATCATCGTATTATTTTTTAAAAAAGATGTAAATACGAGAACTGTCAAAATATAGCAAGTGTCAATGAAATTGTAATCATATCGATTCTGAAAAAAAAAGCTTCTCTTCAACCGTAAAATTATTCTTCTTGTCAAAATTTCGACCGCAAATGATGAGAAAGATGTGCCAGAAATGTATGGAAATTACGATTCATCAAGAAGACATCATTTCTCAGATTAAATATCCAGAGAAGACAGTGCTCTGCATAAATTATTATCGTCATCACAATCATCGTCAGTTTCACGCGAATTCAATTAATCCGTGAAATCGATTGATCGTCGCAGTTGCATAGTGTATCGAATATAACTCAAGACGATGCTCAAAATAATTTCCTACGATCGGCGTAATTAGATTCAAATCAGTCGTCGAAACCGTCAAGATCGCTCTAACGATCCGAAGGACGTCAAACGCACCGCGAAATCTCGATCACGCGATCGTTAGCAAAAAAAAAAAAAGAAAAAGAAAAAGATTTTGGATATATCGAAACGCGAAGCAGGCCGGCCTCGTGTAACAAAGAGCCACGGTTTTAGCATCCGGTCGCGACTTCCCAACGACTTAACGAGCCACAAAAAGTTCCGCTTTAACCCTCACGACGCTACCCTTCAAAAGGTGTATATCATCTCACACACACGCATACACATACTTGTCGTTCATTCCCGTTCCCTTCTCACATTCCTCATTCCTTAATCTGATGCGCGTTCCCAGAGAAGAGAGAGAAAAATCTAAAGGGACTAACTCTAGTAGAATACCCGCGTAAGTCCCACGGTCCGGCATCTCGCACTAGCAGCACAACAGCACGACTTCTTTGTCTTCTCTCTTGAGGCCACGCTCACCTCCACGATTCACGCTTCGCCCTCTTTTTGTGCTCTCCGGTCTTTCCGGGGCCGGTTGTTCCGGTTGTACATAGGCAACCACCGATGCTTTGATTCCCTGTTTGCTTGCTCCGTTCCTCTGTTCAGTTACACACTTTCTGCGCTCGTGTGTATTCTTCTTTCTGTACCCTCCTCCCTCCGAAACGCGAGGATAATTGACATATTGTCGACGTGATCACGTGAAACTGCGCGTTTTATTCAAGATTTTTATGTAGATACTACCAGCTGCTCTCGCAATAGCGCGTGTCATCTGTGATTGAAAACTTTCTTCTTGTGAGAATTGAATCCGGCAAGAGTCTGAAAGATTTGCAAAAAATACGTATTAGAATTACAAGAAATAAATAGAAAGCTTCTTCTTTACAATATCTTACTGTACTGTTTTTGAAAAGAAAAAGAAAACTTCAACTTCGTATACGGACTCTTTCAAGATTGCACATCAATTTTAGTTTACCAGCTATTATTTGTGATAGTGCAACGTTAAGTGCAAGAGATATCCTCCGCATCAAAGCTTTCAAATCTTCGCAAAAAAAGTATCAAATCAAAGTGCAAAAAATGTATAGCTGAAAAGAAGGGGCACATTCTCTGTTGACGATGTTCGGTTCTCCAACTCCTCTAACATCATTGATAAATGCATCGTGACTTTTAAACGCGTATATCTCTTTGCTATCTACTCGATACGAGAAAAAGATTTCGAAAATGTCAGGGGTTATTCAACAGTAAGAAGAATAATAACCGAGAATAATTTTCTGCACGAGTGAAATATATATAATAATATTAAGCTGAAGAAATGTTTGAAAATATATTTACGTTTATAAAAATCGAAAAACAAAAATATGCAAGCCAATTTCGGTTTGATATGAAGATTGAAATTACTTGAAGACTGTAGATACGGACCTTTATTAACGAGCGAAATATCACACGACTTGTTCAGCATGAGTGCTAATCGGATACTAAACTTTTCGTTCTTTACATCAGTGTAACCTTGTGATAATACGGCATACTCCCATCATACCGTATTGACATATCGTATGTAAACACACGCTTTTTCTTATACGTTCAAAGGTGTTTATACAATAGTATTTTTTTAAATATTGTGTACGCGGTGATCCGTGAATTGTAAGAAATCACGAGTTATATGTGAATTTATGATTAACAAGTTTCCAAAGTACATTTCGCGGAAATGTAAAAATATAAGCTTCCTTTCGCAAGATATAAAATAATTTTAATAACAAATCATTTTATTATATGCTCGCATCCTGTCCGAGAAAGTTACGTAAAAAAACAAAATAAAAAAAACAGTCTGGAAGGAATTTAAAATTTTATATTTAAAGAATATTGAAAACAAAAATATGATTTGAGAGAAGAATAATTAAAGATTTACAAAATAGAAAAATGTTATATATTATTAAAAACTCGAATCAACTAATTAGTATTATTTGTGTTAGTGATAGTTAATTGATAATGTTAGTGATAGTTAATCGATAATGAAAATCAAGATTGCATATTTCAAGACACGTAATAAATAAGTGATTGAATTATCAGATATAAGTCAAGTGTTCTCGATCTAATTCAAAATTTCAACCAGCCAGCGATCACACACATACACACACACAGCCGCAAGATTGACAGAAATTTGCTACATTGATATACATCATTTCAATGCCATAATTAAAGATTTTCGGAACATCCAGCTGATATAAACTCATCATTGAAATTGAGTATCGCGAAGCGTCTTCTAATCGAAACTGCTTGTCCGCAATCTAAAGAAACTTCTGTATCAATGTATGAACATCAGTTTAAAACTTTATCGAAACATCGATCGACAAATCGACATCATCGTCATCTTATCAGGAATATGTTTGTACCGATCAAAATTGATTTGAAATTCATCATTCAAGGAAACTCGTCGGCAGACGAGAGACAAGATGATGTACAAGATGAATCCTATTGTACAAAACAGCGTTTCTTTTAAGGCTTCTAATATTTGCGACATCCAAGACGACGCTTGCGTGAACATTTATGCACACTTTACACATCTTGCATTTTATCTGAAACATAAGAAAGATTCTTTATTAGCGCCTGTAAAAGAGCATTTGGTAGAAATCGCGATAGATTAGAATTTCCACGTGAACTGTAACGTGAACAACCGGCCCTTGTGTGTTTTTTTTTTTTCGTAGCTAACGCTCACACCCTTCCAGGTCTCACCGCCACGGCCTGAAGCAGCGAGGCAGCATCAATCACGGACAATCGGGGCATCAATCAGTCGACGGGACGGCACGGGAGGCTCAAGATCGACGGGTGCAGCCGGAAACAAGCGTCAAGCGGAAGCCAGCTGTCCAGCGAGGAACCGAAACATGGACGAATAAATGGACGAATAACAAGTATCTTCAGGGCGATCTCGCGTTCCTCGATGATCGGGGAAGATCATCGGAGATCAAGAGCGACGATCGCGCAATTCTTCGATTCACTCACATCTCAAGCTACATTACTCGCATAATTATATTGATTAAATTTACATTATACTATGGGGAATTTGTTGAACTTTTATCGCGTTTCTTAAAACGTTTTTCGCATTTATATGTTGCACAAGAAGCGAAAACAGGCTTTCACGTGTCTACCCGGCCAGCCTGAGAGAATTCATTGATTTACCTAGCACATTTGGGAATACACTTTCGAACGAAGCATCTTCGTCGAAGCGTACAGAGTTCCGCGAATTCATCGAGAACGAATCTTCCGATATCGACCTCGAAAAACTAAAGCATCAATTTTTCTTCACCGGGCCCAATCATTCTCCGTCTCAAGAAAGTTTATTCCAATCACATCTCGGACGGACAATCATCGGACATCAATCGTCGATCATTAACGACGCAACAATTGGCAAAATTCAGAGAAATTCAGGAATTATCTGGCTGACTAAGGCTGCACCTGTTATTCTCAAACCGAAGAACAAAAACACTTTCCAAGCACCGAAATTAAAATCACATGAATGAATCTTCAAACCTAGCAAGACTTGGAAACGCGTTCTACGTATTTTTTCACTGTGTTGCTTCGAAAATAACAAAGATACAAAATACTAACCGTCTACAGACTTTTCTGAAATTTGCGGAAAAGAAAATGATTCATGTATAAAATAAGTTTATAAGTGAAAGGAGATTAAATCTGCTCCTTTTTTTCAGAAATTATTGAAAAAAATCATCAAAAAACAGCATGTGCACCAAGCGACTCACTTCAGGATTACTTTGCAGTTACCTCAAATGAGAAAAAAGTACTAACAAACATTGATATTATAGCATGCTCTGTATTGTTTCGCATCATGCGAAATTTTGAATTCTGCTTTCCTCGAAATTGGATCCAAAAAGGACAAAACGTATCTCTCTCTTTCCTCGAAAGCATCACGGCATGGACGGAATCGGTTCCTCCAACTTCAACTCTGGCAACTCTACATTGTCACATGCAAGTGCAAGTCTCGCATCAGGAATAATTTTGCAGAACGTTATTAAACTACGGTCGCAGCACAGGCCGCGCCTTCAAAAATCGATTTACAGCAAAGATTCATCTCGCAAGAAAAAACGTTTCACTTCCCGCAACAATCTTTTTACGCGCTGCAATATCTCTCTCTCACACTCGACGATCAAAGAAGCATTAACGTGATTTCAAATCTATTCACAGGACGATATTTATTTGAACGTATAGCGCTTTTACGTGCAACAGTTTCGCAAGACTCTATTTTGATTTAATTTCACGGTTCAAAGAGAAGACGAACACGTCTACGACATACGATTAAGGCTTCAGAGCAGATCAAAAGCAAAATGCAAAATCAGAAATGCCGTAAATTATATCGTGCAGCCAAAACAGCTCTGCACGAAACTAAACTACACCGAAAAACGATCCTCCAAAGTTCAATTTGGCTGGAAGACTAATTGATGGCTCTCGATCGAAATTCGTAAGTTATTTCGGATCGACGAGTCAATGCACTGTCAATTCTTGAGATTAACATTTTTGGGTTTGATTACCGAAGAACAATAGCAGCGCTCAAAACAAACAGTCTCAAAAATAAAGACAAGCAAATTCATAAAACAAAATCAGGGAAGTGCGCAGAAAGAATAAAACATTCGCAAAACGGATGTTGTTTCCGAAATCATTTAAATCATTCAGCTAATCGAGCTGATTTACGATGCTCGTTATATCGTTTTCTTTTCTGGATTACATTACGCAAAACAGTACACGCGGAGTCCTTTTTGGTCCAAAGATACAGGGATATTTTGAAAACAGCTGGAAATTGCCAACAAACTTGGCCAAGAAACTTTTATCATCATGTCGAAAGCAAACAATAATAATTTTTTGCACGCGGCTCTGTAGCGGCATAAATTAATTAATTTAAGTCCATTAATTTAAATCCAAAATTGCGTTCATGAATAAAATCCAAACATGAAACTACGCTACAAAAAACATGAGGGAAACCATACACTTGGAACAAACTCTCATCAACACGGCTCTACAAAATCGATATCAATCGATGCACGAAAAGAGATTCAAATCTAAATGAAGATTACGAAAAACTGAATTTCCATCAAAAAGCATTGCACTTCATGATTCAATGCAAATCTCAGGACAAAAATCGCTCGAACTTTTCCGACTGTGCAACAATCCTCGACAAACTCTGATTCTTAAAATCTTATCTAATCGAACTATTATTGATTTTTTTCATTAGGCAAGAGGAGTTCTATAATTAATGAAGAAATCAAGGATAAGCAATACGATAAATTGCTTCTTCGAAATCCATCGGAAAGATTACCCAAAGAAAACAAAACTGCATGGAAGGGAATATGGAAATCAAGAAAACAAATTATCATTGCAACGAGGGATTCACTCATGCAAATCACGGACAACATGTGGACGTCGTGGGATCATCGACAAAAAGTAATATATTTTGTTCTAATTTCGTGTTCTAGATTATATAATTTAATTTTTTTAATAATAATTATTATTATTCTTTGATGTTAATTATAAGTGAAAATTAAATTCAACATCACCGAAAAATTAAATCACAATTCTGTTTTTTAGACATAAAATTCGCCTTTAATTATTTACTTATTAAATTATTATAAGTTTTATTTATTTATTTTTTTACTTTGCTTTTAATTCGTTAGTTTTTGTTTTGCTAATCTACATGAAATTATCGACGATATTAGAATCTTTTTCTAGTTTTTTTTGCTATAGATATTCATATATACAAATTATATTTTCCATTTATATCTTTATCGCGTTTATTGTATGCTGACATAAAGTTTCGCATATTACAATATATGTATACATGTGAATTCAATTATAACCAAATCAGAGTTTTGGAAACTTTATCATTTTGACGAATTGGAAGATGTTTTCTGCAGAAAATCTCAGTAAAAAAATATACGAAACAGTATAATTTTACGAAATCATAGAAATTGTGCCAGTAAAATCTCTGCAAATATATATTATTAATATACATAATAGCTTGGCATAATGTTACTGGCAACAAACTCTCTGATCATCTTAAAAATGATAGAGTTTTATATATCAAAACGCATTGAAGTTTTATAAAATTACGAAATTGTTATAACTTTAAATTCTTGTACTTATCTTCCCGCCCCCCTTGTTATTATACATGTCATGTGTCTTGTTGAGTATTTAATATATTATTTATTTATTATAATTTTATCGCGATGATTTCACGTTAGATTTGCTCTATCTATTTTTTTAGTTTTAATTTTCATTTTTTTCTTATTTTTTATTTTCAATATATTGATTTATTTTTTATTCATAACAAAAAGGAAAATGAAAAACTTAAAAAAAAAAGAAAAAGAAATAAAGTAAATATGTGAAGTATGATATGTTCTACGAAACAATATGTTCAATAGACAAAGCTGATATGCTTCGAAAAATAATTTCATCTGTATATGTACTGATCTGTAATATGTACTGATAGAAATAGATATTTGAGATTGTTGAAGAGAAACACAAACAGGATTTAATTATTTATAATTATACGAAGATGCTGTAAGGATGAGAGAGTTTGTTTCGCAAAATTGTAAAAACTACAGTTAAAGATATATTGTAAAATGCTGTTTTGCGAGACCAACCATTCCTTTCAAGATCTGCGTATTTCAATCTCTGCGCAATTGAATACATTCTCAAATCTCTTATGCTTCGAGTCTGCTAATCAGTATTCCAATAATCAGAAAATAACATGTGCATAAGTAAACAAAAATCTGTCATCTCACGATTTTTCTCGCGTCATCAGTAAATATTTGTCGTAGAACGTGGATTACTTAACACATTCATATGAAATTTAACGTATTATTAATCGTATATTTACATAATCGTATCATTAGATATTTAGATATATAGTTTTTAATTTCGTTCTGGTATGCTCAGAGATATACCAGAAACATATGAATGACAACCTCTGGTAATTAATGATAAGTCATTATCGCAGAACGCTTCAAAAAAGCGTTGTGAGATGTGGCTCTGTCAATTGCAAATCTTTATTCTAGTTCATAAAGTATTTCTTTCATTATTTTTCAATAAAATATTACAAATATTTGTCTTGTTTGCGAGAAATTTTTTTGCCAATATATTCACTGTAATGTTACATTACTCATCTAAAGAAGTAACGAATTGGATATTTTTAATTTAGTTGATAGAGCTTCATCTCATTTCGTAGACTTGTATTCCTTAAGTTATTAATTCTCATAAAGAATATAATTAAAATTAGGATAGGTAAATTTTATACAATAATCCATAAGTATTTGTTCGCATATAGTAGGAGCAGAGAAACCTCTGTCTATTAAAGAATTATATTATATAATAGTTTAATATAACAGCTATATAACAGTTTATATTATATAACAGTTTAACATTAATTGCTCCTTACATAGAGCCAGGAATTTTTCGTGACATAGTTTTAAGATTAAGATTAAACTCGTATATCTATATAATATATTGTTGCAGAAATCATTATCAACTCGATATCGAATTGAAAATTTACAACAAGAATGATTTGTACTTTGCCAACAGTAACGATTAGAATTAAATTCTCAGCTGCGTGAAACAATTCGAATGAAGGTGTTCAAGGTACATTTCGAAGGAAAAAGACACGCTTTATATAATTCGCAAAAGAATTATCCGTATACATAAACGTATTATGCTGCTTTTGAATGCTTCTCGAATGTTGCTTACCTGAATGTTACTGTTTCTGTTGTTTTTACGTTTGTGTTTGAAATCTACGCTTTTTGGTCAGCCCCACACGGTACACGTCCCAAGATTCTCCCATTGTTCACGTTGAATTTCTATTTGGCGCATTGTTACTGTTATAATAAGCCGTCGAAATGTTATACGTAAAGACTTGATTGTTACATTTTTCATTTCCCTTTGAAAATATGCCTATATTTAAATCTATTACTTTATTGGATGTTTTCCGTTATATCGAAATTTCGGACATTATCATATTGTCAAAAAATTATATTTAACGCTGTTGATCCTTTGTTAATTGTGTACTGTTGATACTTTGTTCGTGTTGTACAGATCATTGTCATTTCACGTATCTGCATAATTACTGTCGAATATTTTATATTCGGAGATCCATCAATTCTCTCATATCTTGAAATATGATACCTTCGTTAAATTTGAATATATTCTCTATAATATTTTATGTTTAATGTTAGCAAGAATCATCAATATTCATTACGAATCAATTTGTAGAAATTTGAATTTTAATTATCATCCATAAAATTTCAATATGGAAAATATTTTACATTACATGACATTATTTAAAGATACGCAGATATTCTAAGATGCACAAATAATTTATAAATTTAAATTAAAATAAGTTGAAATCTTTAAAATTCATCTAAATTCTCATCACGCATCTCAATGTCATCGTTGTTGTTAAAAATGCATACTAGTTAAAATATATTCTGCATCTTGCGTTAAATCTTGGTCAGTTGAAGTTATTAGTTTTGTCCATCTTAAACAAATTATTATAATCGTTACTTACAATTTTCGTTATCCCAATGCCATTTTTGTTTATCTTACCCATTTGTTCAATCCTTATTACTATTATCTTTATTACTATTTTCTATTTAGATTTTATTACGAGAGCATTACATTTCCAGATTGCTTTATTATTGTTGACGGCAGGACGATTAATCAAATCAATTCCAATTGGGCAATTAATAATCATTACGCTTATATTTCTTTTCTGGCATATAAATTTTATTTGCGCGACTTGCTCGATGAATTTATGAAAACGGTTTCTAAGCATGGTAAAAAAAAATATTTTCCGGAACCGGGTATGCACTTGAAAATTTTTTGAATAAATAATAATTAATTTGAATAAATGTTTATAAATCTGCACCTAGAATGTTAAACTCATCAAACTCTTATCTTTCTTGAAAAAGAAGAATTTACAAGAATTTATAACAATGAGAAACTATCAATAATTTCCATGATATATTTTATATAGATAATAAAAAATTGCATTCAATTTATAAATTCTATAATTAAATTTTTAATCAATCAACGATCATTCTCTTATATGACGCCTACAAATTCCGCGATAAATATTTAATCGTCAAAAATACTTGGCCAGCTATCATAACGCGCGTATAATCGTTGTTGTTAACTAATTTTGTTACCTTTTATATTCTTGATTATTGTTACATGAAATTACGTTTTGTTGTTAAGTTACCATTGATACCTCTGAAATCCCACACCGAGAAGTTGCCTGCCCGTGTTTTTGTTCTTGAAGAATTCGTATTGTCTATTCGAATAGAGAGGCTGTTTTATTACTGTTAATTAAATTAGCACCAAAAGCAAGCATAATTCGCGCTCTATTTGTTACCGAATTAAGATTAAAGAGCTAAGATTTTAATCGGCGAAATACAAATCGATTGTCAGTTTGATAACGATTACATGTATCTCTAAATAACATAATATATTAATCAAATCAATTATAGATATCATTCCCACAGATATCATTTCAGCAGAAATTATGTTGTAAGTTACTATTTAATTTAATTTGCATATTGTTTAATGATTATCACTGCCTGACTTGCAAAGTTTAAAAAAATTTTGGTTTCACCGTGTAGTGCCTTCGATAGATTTTAATCTACGCACATATATATATTTTAATGCATATTTTCTATTATTATATAACATATACAATAAGAGCTTAGTTTTAATAACTAAGAATATATGTATGTATTCTAAAAAAAGAGTAATGCGCTTATGATATATGTATATAGAATGTATAAGTACATTTAACAAATAAACATTGTATATATAATATATAAAATGCATTTTTTAATATCCACATAAATATCATTTATTATTTTATCATTTAATAATGTTCCTTCATAACAAATACTTATTGTGCAAATAATTTTCCTTCATAAATATTCGTAAATAAAATCTACAATTAATAATTAGTCATTATCATAATTTGCCAACGACTGCAATTAATTATAAGCAAATTAATCATAAAGACTTGGTTTCTATGAAAAGATGAGTTTTATTCCAGTAAATAATTATATCTTTCTCTACAAAATAGCTAGCAATAATATATATTATGAATATAAAGTTTATATTTTCTGTAAATTATATATTTATCTACAAATATACAAAATATATATAATATAATTATTGACTTGCACGCAGGTAAAATTCGTTATTCTTTATTCGTAATCTAAAAGAGCAAATTACACATAATAAAATCGTAATATTTTTATGCAGTGTATGATTAATAACATCGCGAAATCACGAATAATAAATTTCATATCAACAATTATATAATATCGCTCTAAAAATATATGATATTTTTCTCTCTCTTGTTATTATTATATAATATAGTCTAAATAAGATTAAAAATAGACAACAATATACGTGTTTTATAAAAATTTTCCATCCACGTAAAAGTTATATAAAAAATATTCATAGGAGCTTAATTCATATAATTATATAAGAAAAAATAAAAGAGAAAGATATATAAGTGTCCCGACAAATTAAAAAAATTCTAATTATTAAATCGAATAAAGGCCCAAAGACCATTCTTTGTTGAAGTCAAAAAGGCTGAAGGTGCGAACTCCAAGGGTATACGAGTCTTTGGAGAAAGTTCGATACTATATTTTCGTAAAAATGTTGCCAAACACGCTTTCATTTGTAACTGAGCCATTCTCATCCCGACACACATTCGCGGACCCTCGCCGAAGGGAAGAAAAGCGAATTTCTCGATGCTATGTTTTCTATCCGGGCCGAATCTGTCGGGATCGAATACTTCAGGATGCTCCCAATATCGAGGATCTACCTGCAGGCCGTTAACAGGTATCAGAATTTGCATTCCGCGTTCAACGTGACAGGCAATTCCATCGGATCCTTTAAGTTCAATCTCTTCTGTACAAATCTTGGTCAGAAATCCTAATGTAGGAATGATTCTCTGTGATTCGTTTATAACTTGATCCATGTACGTCATATCTTTCAAAGCATCGTAAGTAATCACGTCCTCGTACTTATTGAGCACAGATATTACTTCCTCGCGTAATTTTGTCTGCACATCCGGATTATTAGCTAATTGAAAACCAACGAAGCTCAAAACTGTACTGGAAGTCTCGTAACCGTCGATGAAAAATGACGTTGCATGAGACACAAGAACATTTATATCAATTTTATTACCCTCCGTTCGTTCTAAATCAGCCATCAATTGAAGAAAGTCGTTTCTGGGCTTGTTCTCTGTTCTTCTTTGTTCCATAACATCCGTAATTATCGTTCTAAAGTAATGATCGACTTTTTTTGGTAAAAAAGGTATCTTAAAAATTTTGCCCAACAAAGGCAAAAAGAAAACAAGTGTAAAGACAAAGTTGTTCCAACCGGTGGGTTCAAGGAAGGATTTGGCCATCGTGTAGAAAGATTCGTGCTCTTTCTCCTCGTCGAAGGACAATCCGTCCACGCCAAAGCCTGCACTGGAAACAACCTGCGAGGTGAATCTGGCAAATAGATCTTTCAGCTCCAATTCAATTTTTCCGACTTTGCTCAATTTTTTATCAAGGAAATTTTCAAACTTCTCGCACACTTGCTTGACACTCTCGAGCAAAATTTTCAACCGCATGCTGGAAAATGCATAAGTCAAACGCTTCCTGCCAGTTATCCATTTCTCGCCGTATGTAAAAAATGGATTGTTTGCCAGAAGAGGATCCAAGTCGCTATCAATCTTAAAACCGTTCTCGTGAAAGTTCACAAAATTGGTTTGCAGCACTGTCTTTATTAGCTCCGGTTCAAAAATCATTAATGTCGGTGATGTAAAATTGTAAATTCCCATCATACTGTGACTTCGATTAGCGTTGTAAATCTTGAGACAACAGTCAGAGAAAGAGGTCTTCATGGTGATGAGGTCCCAGAAGTGACCGACTCCAGGTAAAGCGCCATCCGGGCAAGGTATTTTACGCTTCTGCCAATAATTGTAATTCTTCGTTAAATAAAAATAGAGAATCCCTAATACTATGAGAATTAAAGATACGAGCACGATAGCCATTGCTTCTTGCAGAAGACGGTACTGAACGATCGAGCAATTGATGCGACAAGTCAACTACGACTGACCTCTTTTCTAAGGATATAATCTATCAACACATCAAGTGCATGTAGTATCAGCGAATGAAAGGAGACTGCGCATTAATGATACTGGGTGATAACGTAGTATAATCTTAATGTTATGTAACTTATGTGACATTATATATTACACATTTAAAATGTTATTTAAATTTGTTAAAATCTTACTAAAATTATTCTTAATAAAATATAAATACATATATAAAAACTTATTATAGATATTAATATTGAAATTCCATTTTTGATCAAACTCTGATTTGACTAATTCTGATTAATTTAACTGACAAAATTGTCTACAGGAAGATTTCTAACTACATAATTTTTTGTTTTTGTGATCCTCGTTTTTTTATATATAAAATAATAAAACAATTTTATCCACAATAACAAAAATAATATTAATAATATTAAATAATATAAATATAAATTATATTAAATAATATTAAATTATATTAAATAATATTATATTAAATATTAAATTATATTAAATAATATATAATATAAATAATATTAAAATGCATTACATTGCATTAAAATACATTATATTACTTAATAGTAGCCGATTAAAATAAAATTAAAATTTATTTAAAAAAGAAAAAAATGATTCTACAATTATTAATTATTAATTTTCATTAATATTGATATAGCGATATTTCTTTTATGCCACCCTATATGAGAAGCTCCTATAAGTATTTGAATAAGTTAGATAATAGCCAACAAGTGTTGGCTATTATTTAATAAAAAAGCGATCCGTACATTCTATAATACATTACATTATGTACGTCGTATTTTACACAAGAGACAATAATTGCAGACAATAATTGTATATTTGATGAACTTTTACATAGTTATCTTTTTATTGTACATATTATTAATTTACGCATTAACATTATGTTATTGCAATCTACAATGATAACAGAATATATCAATCTGTTTTTTCTTAGATAAAGTTAAGGTCATTTTCTTCAAGAAAATCAATGCTTCTTCACGTTATGATTATTATTATTTCGATAACAAATCTGCAAGTTGTACCATACACACAGTTGTAAGATACACGTGGCGTTTGATAGCAAATTTATACATAGAACATGTTTTTCAAAATAATTTCTTCTATCTTTCATATTAATTTTTAAAATCTATCTTTCATATTAATTTTCAAAATAATTTCTTCTATCTTTCATATTAATTTTATACTAACTATTTTTCTATATTTATTATATATATTATAAAAATCTTATAATATATTATTTACTTCAACTAATAAAAGATAAAAAATTGATTATATAATTGCAAAAACACATGATATTTTATCATAATAAATATTCAATAATCAATGTGTCTTATCATTCTATTTGTGCAGCCTCTTTCGTTCATGAGATACTTGACATTCAATACGTCGCAGCACTTTGTAGCAATTTTGCTCTCTAGCAATCAGTCATAGTTAATACGTGGTCAAGGCAACATCACTCTGTGCGATCCAGTGCCACTTATACTCGAGAAAGACAACCGAGTATGGCTGTCGTGCTAATATCTTTGATTATCGGGGCGCTTTTAGCCTTTTATTTTTATCTAATACAAAAAAACAAATACTGGCAAAAACGTGGAGTACCATGTGCGAATGGAGCCCTGCCGGGAGTCGGCCACATGTTAGAAGTGATTTGCATGAAAATGACTTTGCCAGAACGCTCTCGCAAAATTTATAAAGACAACATGAATCGTAGTATGATCGGATTTTACAATTTCACCACACCATCATTGATAATCATGGAGCCGGAATTAGTAAAAACAGTGTTGCAGACCAATTTCACGAATTTTTCCAAAAATACTGTGGATATCGATCCATCTTTGGATCCTCTTTTAGCGCATAATCCATTCGTCAATACCGGCGACAAATGGATTAATGGAAGGAAACGCTTGACTTACGCTTTCTCCAGTATGCGATTGAAAATTCTGCTTGAAGGCGTCAAATCGGTGTGCGTAACGATGGAGAGCTATCTCGATAACAAGATGAAGGATACCGGGAAGATTGAATTGGAGCTGAAGGACTTGTACTCCAGGTATACCATGCAAGTCGTGGCCGCTGTTGGTTTCGGCGTAGAAGGATTCTGTTTCGATGACGAAAAAGACGATATATCTATCCGAAAAATCGGCCAAGTCATTTTCAACTCTTCTAAGCGAAGTATGCTTATGTTTGCTCTTATATTCTTCGTTCCGTCGTTGAACAAAATCTTCAGGATGAGCTTTATTCCGAAACACGTTGACAGTTTCTTCAGAAAATTGGTTGCGGATTGTATGGAGCAACGACGGAAGAACGAGACATGCAAAAATGATTTTCTTCATTTGATGGCAGAATTGGAACGGATATCAGGCGATAAATTTGATCTCGAGATGGTTACAGCTCAAGCAATGTCATTTTTCCTCGACGGCTATGAGACTTCCAGCACCGTTATGAGCTTCGTTGGTTTTCAATTAGCCACTCATCCTAAAGTGCAGGAGAAATTACGCAAGGAAATAATAACTGTACTCGATAAGTATGATGGTGTGATTACTTACGAAGGCTTGAAGGAAATGACATACATGGACCAGGTTTTGAATGAATCACAGAGAATCATGCCCGCAGCACCAATCCTGCAAAAACAATGTACGGAAGAATGTGAGCTAAGAGGATCTGATGGACTCGTTTGTCGCGTGGGACCTGAAACGCAGATTGTGATACCTATCCACAGTCTGCAAGAAGATTCTCGATATTGGGAAAATCCTGAAGTGTTTGATCCCGAAAGATTTAGTCCAGAGAACAAACACAACATCGAAAAATACGCTTTTCTTCCCTTCGGTGAGGGTCCGCGAATGTGTGTCGGGATGAGAATGGCTCTATTGCAATTAAAGGCTGGTCTCGCTGCAACTTTGAAAAAATACAGTCTAGAGCTTTCTCCGAAGACACAAGTACCTTTGAAAATGATACCCAACACAATCTTACCAACACCGAAAGGTGGTCTGTGGGTCATTTTTCGACAGCTCTAAATGTAGTTTTAAATTTTTCACCAGCTATATTGGGATTATTATATTTAAAAATAAAATATATATAATAATAAAGTTATTTTTTAATATTATTCATTTCTAATTACTTCTTTATCGAATAGAAAAAAATGTATTTACTCTCATTTAAAATGTTATGATGTGATATTTTTTTGTATGATTTATATAATTCAAATTTTGTATAATTTTAAATTTTTTCATAACATTCTTTTAAAAATGTTAAAATATGATTTAAGGGCCAAATTTGTAAAGGGCCAAAGCTGAAAATTTGCACTCTATATTACTCAATATAGTTTCTCAAATTCACGTGATAGATAATACTTGCGCCAAATGATATTTATGGTAATAATCATTATATACTTTGATGTTACATTTATTTGTCATGTTTTATGTATCTTACCTTGTATATTAATTATGATGAGCGAATAGCGTAACGAATATAAACGCGAATTATTACATAACGACTCTGCATAGGCATACATACGTTAATTATGTAACATGACGAAATAAAGAGTCTTCTCTTTATAAATTTATAGGGGAGACTGTACGAGTCATGTCATATCATACAATTAACATGTATGCACGCACATATGTAGAATCATTACGTAATAATTCGCATTTATATTCGTGTTACGGTATTCATTTTTAGAATTTTATTGTTGTAATAAATATCTTTCTCTTATTATATATTAAAATGTAACAAATATATTTCATTACCTTTCTCAAATCTCGGTAAGCATGTTCGGGAAGATGTCGGTAAGTTCAGAGATTCAGAAAGTACCTTTCGCTGCACAAAACTAAAACAATAAAAACTTAATATTAATACTACTATTAATTTTAGAATTTAAATATATTAAATTTGGAAAAATATACACAGACACACACACACACATACACGCAGAAAGCATTAATGAAATATTGCATGTATATAGAATACAAAATCTTTTTTTAATTTTAATTATTATCCGAAGATTTTTTAAATTTATTAATGTAGTCATTACAAAAATTTCTTGGTAAATTTCTTTTCTGTAACGGTTGTAATTAATTTATTTTTCGTATACACAACTTATTTATTATATACACATATATATTGTATATCGTATTTACACAAATTATAAAAAAATATTTACATGATATCTTATCAAATTTTTCAATGACTATAGAAAATCATTATCATGATTATAGAGAGAACGATTTTTTATTACTTACACTCTTATCGCTTGTCTGCGCAGACAATTGCTATCAATATAAGCCAGTGACTGCCTTCTTTAATTTAGTCGTAGTCAAATCGTACTAGAGTCCACATCGATCCATCTATTTCAATTATCCATTCGAAAGACAAAATGGATATCATGTTGATTTCTTTAATACTCGCAGCATTTATAGCCTTGTATTTCTACCTAGTGCAAAAAAACAAGTATTGGCAAAATCGTGGAGTATTTTGCGCAGATGGAGCCCTGCCGGGAGTCGGTCATATGTTATCGGTGCTCTGCATGAAAACAACATTCACTGAGTACTTTCAGAAGATCTGCCATAATAATAAAAGTCATAGTATGGTGGGAATCTATAAGTTTATGTCACCGTTATTGATAGTTCTCGAGCCGGATTTGGTGAAGACAGTGTTGCAGACTAATTTCTCAAACTTCCATGTGAACGCTGCAAAGATTAATCCTGATTTAGATCCCCTTCTGTCGAAACATCCTTTTTTTTCGCATGGCGACAAATGGCTAATTGGTAGAAAGCGGTTGACTTATGCATTTTCCAGCATGAGACTAAAAATCCTACTTGAGAGCGTCAAGTCGGTGTGCGTAATGCTCGAGAATTATCTCGATAACAAGTTGAAGAAAACTGGAAAAGTGGAACTAGAGTTGAAAGACTTGTGTTCCAGATATACTACGCAGGTTGCGGCGGCCGCTGGTTTTGGCGTAGACGGATTTTGCTTTGATGATGAGAAACCAGATAAGTCCTTCCGAAAAATTGGCAAGCAGGTTTTAGAGCCTTCCGTACGGAATGCGATAATATTTATGCTTATATTTGTTATCCCACCGTTGAATAAAATCCTCAAAATGAGCATTGTTCCAAAGCATATCGATCGTTTCTTCAGAACGTTAGTCGCGGATCTTATGCAACAACGACGAGAAGAAAAAATACCTAGAAACGACTTTCTTCATTTGATGGCAGAATTGGAGCGGATTTCAGACGAAAAATTTGACCTCGAAATGCTTACATCTAATATAATAACATTCTTTATCGACAGCTATGGTACTTCCAGTACAGCTATGAGTTTTGTTGGTTTTCAATTAGCCAATCATCCAAAGGTGCAAGAGAAATTACGCAAAGAAGTGATGACTGTACTCGACAAGTATGATGGTATGATAACTTACGAAGGCTTGAAGGAGATGACGTACATGGATCAAGTTTTGAATGAGTCAATGAGGCTTGTACCTGTATTGGGATCATTGATTAAACGATGTACTGAAGAATGCGAGCTGAGAGGATCCGATGGCGTCGTCTGTCGCGTGGAACCTGGAACGGAAATCTTGATATCTACCCAAGCTTTACACAATGATCCTCGGTACTGGAAAGATCCTGAAGTGTTCGATCCCGAAAGATTTAGTACAGACAAGAAACACAATATTCAAAAATTTACTTTTCTTCCCTTCAGTGAAGGTCCGCGGAACTGTGTCGGGATGAGAATGGCTCAATTGCAAGTGAAGGCGGGTCTCGCTGCAATTCTGAAAAAATATAGTCTGGAACTTTCTCCGAGGACACAAGTACCTCTGAAAATGATACCCGGGGCAAACTTACCATCACCAAAAGGTGGTCTGTGGGTCTTCTTCCGACAGCTTTAAATATTGTATATACTATTTTTTTCAAGCTATCGTATGTTAATTGCAATTAGAATTCTTATATTCAAAAATAAAATGTGTAGTTGTGGGAATAAAATTATTTTTAATATTATCCATCTCTAATTATTGAGAAGAATCTTTATCAAGAAATAAAAAATATGTAACAGATGTAATATAACAGAATTATAAAATTTCTTTAAATGAGTGTAAACATATTTTTTAAACATATATATATATATATATATATATATATATACATATATATAAAATTTTTCATATTCTATAAAAATGTATCAAACTATGAGTTAACAGACAAACTCATATAAACTGAAAATCTTTCTTCAATTATTCATTATAATATTTAATGTTCAATATGTGATTGATAACGCTTTCTAGCATCAAATGAGATTTATGATAATACTTCATATTTATTTATCGTTCTTCATCGTCGGCTGTAATTTTATATGTTTTTATTATGTATATATATTATAAATGACATCTATTTATTTTATTATATATATACGTTAATCTAACAAATATACTTCATTATTTTTTTTAAATTTTAGTCTCAGTAAGCATGTTTGCGAAGATCTCAACAAACTTAGGAGGTTCTTGTTATGTAATATTAAAACAATAAAAATTATTATCAACTTTAGAATTTAGATATATTACTTATATAATTTATATTACTTATATATTTAGGTATAAAATAAAATATACACAGACACACACACACATACACGCAGAAAGCATTAATAAAATATTGCATGTATATAGAATACAAAATCTTTTTTTAATTCTAATTATTATCCGAAGATTTTTTAAATTTATTATTAATGTAATCATTACAAAAATTTCTTGGTAAATTTTTTTTCTGTAACGGTTATAATTAACTTATTTATCGCATACACAACTTATTTATTATATACACATATATATTGTATATCGTATTTACACAAATTATAAAAAAATATTTACATGATATCTTATCAAATTTTTCAATGACTATAGAAAATTATTATTATGATTATAGAGAGAACGATTTTTTATTACTTACACACTTATCATAGTCTATGGCCGGTATTCATAGTCCGATCTTATATTTGAGATCGTCTTAAGTTCGAGCTTGAAATGCTACGCAGCTATTTGATTAATTGAATGAGGTCTTAAGTCAACTTCTAAGCAAACTTAAGACGATTTTAAATATAAGATCGGACTATGAATATCGGCCTATGATTCTTATCGCTTGTCTGCCCAGACAAATGCTATCAATATAAGCCAGTGACTGTCTTCTTTAATTTAGTCGTAGTCAATTCGTACTAGAGTCTACATCGATTCATCTATTTCAATTATCCATTCGAAAGATAAAATGGATATCGTGTTGATTTCTTTAATACTCGCAGCATTTATAGCCTTGTATTTCTACCTAGTGCAAAAAAACAAGTATTGGCAAAATCGTGGAGTATTTTGCGCAGATGGAGTCCTGCCGGGAGTCGGTCATATGTTATCGGTGCTCTGCATGAGAACAACTTTTGTCGAGAGCTGTTACAAGATCTATCAGAATAATCGGAGTCGCAGTATGGTGGGAATCTATAAGATTATGTCACCGTTATTGATAGTTCTCGAGCCGGATTTGGTGAAGACAGTGTTGCAGACTAATTTCGCAAGCTTCCATTTGAACGCTATAAAGATTAATCCTGATTTAGACCTCCTTATGTCGAAACATCCTTTTTTCTCGCATGGCGACAAATGGCTAATTGGCAGAAAGCGGTTGACTTATGCATTTTCCAGCATGAGACTAAAAATCCTACTTGAGAGCGTCAAGTCGGTGTGCGTAATGCTGGAGAATTATCTCGATAACAAGTTGAAGAAAACTGGAAAAGTGGAACTAGAGTTGAAAGACTTGTGCTCCAGATATACTACGCAGGTTGCGGCGGCCGCTGGTTTTGGCGTAGACGGATTTTGCTTTGATGATGAGAAACCAGATAAGTCCTTCCGAAAAATTGGCAAGCAGGTTTTAGAGCCTTCCGTACTGAATATAATAAAATTTATGTTTATATTTGTTATCCCACCGTTGAATAAAATCTTCAAAATGAGCATTGTTCCAAAGCATATCGATCGTTTCTTCAGAACGTTAGTCGCGGATCTTATGCAACAACGACGAGAAGAGAAAATACCTAGAAACGACTTTCTTCATTTGATGGCAGAATTGGAGCGGATTTCAGACGAAAAATTTGACCTCGAAATGCTTACATCTAATATACTAACATTCTTTATCGACAGCTATGGTACTTCCAGTACAGCTATGAGTTTTGTTGGTTTTCAATTAGCCAATCATCCAAAAGTGCAAGAGAAATTACGCAAAGAAGTGATGACTGTACTCGACAAGTACGATGATATGATAACTTACGACGGCTTGAAGGAGATGACGTACATGGATCAAGTTTTGAATGAGTCAATGAGGCTCGTACCTGTATTGGGATCAATGATTAAACAATGTACTGAAGAGTGCGAGCTGAGAGGATCCGATGGCGTCGTCTGTCGCGTGGAACCTGGAACGGAAATCTTGATACCTACCCAAGCTTTACACAATGATCCTCGGTACTGGAAAGACCCTGAAGTATTCGATCCCGAAAGATTTAGTTCAGACAAGAAACACAACATTCAAAAATTTACTTTTCTTCCCTTCAGTGAAGGCCCGCGAAACTGTGTCGGGATGAGAATGGCTCAGTTGCAAGTAAAGGCGGGTCTCACTGCAATTTTGAGAAAATACAGTCTGGAACTTTCTCCGAGGACGCAAATACCTCTGAAAATGTTACCCGGGATCATATCATCACCAAAAGGTGGTCTGTGGGTCTTCTTCCGGCAGCTTTAAATATTGAATATACTATTTTTTTCAAGCTATCGTATGTTAATTGCAATTAGATTTCTTATATTCAAAAATAAAATGTGTAGTTGTGGGAATAAAATTATTTTTAATATTATCCATCTCCAATTGTTGAGAAGAATCTTTATCGAGAAAAAAAAAATGTTTACACTCATTTAAACAAATTTCATAATTCTGTTCTTTCTTTTTGTGATTTATATGATTCAATATGAATTATATAATTATATATATATATATATATATATATATATATATACATATATATAAAATATTTCATGTTCTATAAAAATGTATCAAACTATGATTTAACAGACAAACTCATATAAACTGAAAATCTTTCTTCAATTATTCATTATAATATTTAATGTTCAATATGTGATTGATAACGCTTTCTAGCATCAAATGAGATTTATGATAATACTTCATATTTATTTATTGTTCTTCATCGTCGGCTGTAATTTTATATATTTTTATTATATACATATATTATAAATGACATCTATTTATTTTGTTATATATATATACGTTAATCTAACAAATATATTTCATTATTTTTTTCAAATTTTAGTCTCAGTAAGCATGTTTGCGAAGATTTCAACAAACTTAGGACGTTCTTGTTATGTAATATTAAAACAATAAAAATTATTATCAACTTTAGAATTTAGGTATATTACTTATATAATTTACGTATATTACTTATATATTTAGGTATATTACCTATATGATTTATATATATTACGTACATAATTTAGGTATAAATTTAAAAGAGCATGTTTGACAGAGCATGAATCTACTATCTCATATGATACGTATAGAAATACATATTCTTTTATTTTATTTTTATCATTATTCAACGATTTCTCTAATTTATTATTAATATAAAATAGTCATTACAAAAATTTCTTAATAAGTTTCTTTTAATGGTTATAATAAATATATTTATTTTATATCGTATAAAAGTATTTATACAAATTATAAAAAAGTATTTTCATAACAAGTCATAAAATTTATTCAGTAACTATTGGAAATTATTAAAATCAGCGACTTTTTGTTACTTATTTTTTAAATTAAAATACTTACGAAGACTTGAAGGAGACGGATCTATGGATCAAGTTTTAAATAAATCGAGGCTCGTATCTCCATTGGGAATATCGCTTAAAAAATGTACGAAAAAATGTTAGCTAACAGGATCCGATGGGATTGTCTGTCGCGTGCAACCTGGAAAAAATCTTGATATCCATTCAGGTTTTACACAAAAATCCTCGATATTGAAAAGATTCTAACACGATATTGAAAAGTGTTTAACTCTGAAAGATTTGATCCAGACAGGAAACATAACATCGAAAAATTCGCTTTTTTTGACTTCAGTGAAGATCCGCGAATGTTCGGGATGAAAATGCTCTACTGTAAATGAAGGCAGGTTTAATCGTAATCTTGAGAAAATATAATCTGGAACTTTTTCTCCGAAGACACAAGTATCTCAAATGATGCTTGTGACACTCTCACCAACACCAAAAAGTAGTCTGTGGGTTTTCTTTCGACAGCTTTAAATGCATTTTTTGAGTTGTATATGTTATTTGTCACTCTTTATCTTTGGCTGTATTTTTACGTACTTTATCCTGTATATATTATAAATATACAGTAGATTGTATCCATTTTTATTATTTTATTGTTGTACTAAATATCTCTTCATTTTATTGTTTAACCATGTCTTCATTTATGTTAATCTAACAAATATACATAAATTGTTTAATTTCTGAAATTTCAATCAATACTGAAATAATACAATAAAAACTTACAATTAATTTTAGAAATTAAATTGGAAAAGAACATACATTAATGTATATTCTAGTGTATATTCTATAACTATTTTATTAATAATATCCCATACAGCACAAAAAGGCCAAAAGACGTCTTAAAGACGTCTAAAGGACTTTAAGACGTCTTTAAGTAGTCTTTTAGATGTCTTTTAGACATGTGTGCTGTCTGGGATATCTATACTGAATGCATATTTCTCTATTTTATGTTAATAATTAAAAATTTTTCCTAATTTATATATTGACAATAAAATAGTCACTGCAAAAATTTTTTAATACATTAATTCTATATAACGGTTATAATTAATATTTATATCGTATAATTCTAAAAAAATTTTTGCATAATATATCGTAAATTTTATAATATATGTATTATATATTGAATAATTCTAAAAAAAATATTGCACAATATCTCTAAAAAATTATTTTAATAATCATTAGAAATTATCAGAGTGAATTCTTATTATTCTTATCTGTGCAATCTCGCTTATTTATTAGCTAATCGTTATCGGTATGTACGCGTATCTCGGTGACGATGATTTTTCGCTTTCTACAATTCAGTCGCAGTTGATACGTACTCAAGGCTACATCGATTATTTCAATCATTGTGCTAGTTTTCTTGATAGTCGCAACATTTATAGCTCTCTATTTCTACTTAGCGCGATACAACAAATATTGGCAAAATCGTGGAGTTTTCTGCGCAGATGGAGCTCTGCCAGGAGTCGGTCATATGTTATCGGTGCTCTGCATGAGAACAACTTTTGCCGAGAGCTGTTACAAGATCTATCAGAATAATCGGAGTCGCAGTATGGTGGGAGTCTACAACTTTATGTCGCCGTCGTTGATGGTCCTCGAGCCGGAGCTGGTGAAGAAGGTATTGCAGACTAATTTCACGAGCTTTCATCAGAACGTTCAGAAAGCCGATCCTGATTTGGATCCTTTGTTGGCGAATCATCCTTTTGTTACTTATGGTGATAAATGGATAACCGGCAGAAAGCGCTTGACCTATGCATTTTCCAGCATGAGACTGAAAATTCTGTTTGAGAACGTCAAGTTGGTATGCGTAATGCTCGAGAACTATCTAGATAAAAAATTGAGTAAAAACGGTAAAGTGGAACTGGAGCTGAAGGATTTTTGCTCTAGGTATACCACGCAAATTGTGGCTGCCACTGGTTTCGGCATAGACGGATATTGCTTCGATGATGAAAATGCAGATAAGTCCTTCCGAGAAATTGGCAAGCAGATTGTAGAGCCTTCTATGCGGACCGCAATCATGGTTATGCTTAGAATTCTTGTCCCATCGTTGAATAAATTCTTTAAAGTAAGCATTATTCCGAAGCACATCGATCATTTCTTCAGAACGTTGGTCGCGGATCTCATGGAACAACGACGAAAAGATGGAATACCTAGAAATGATTTCCTTCATTTGATGGCAGAATTGGAGCAGATTGAAGGTGATAAGATTGATCTCGAGATACTGGCATCTCATGCATTAATTTTCTTCATCGACGGCTATGACACTTCCAGCACTATTATGAGCTTCGTTGGTTTTCAATTAGCCACTCATCCAAAAGTGCAGGAGAAATTACGCAAGGAAGTAATGACTGTACTCGACAAGTACGGTGGTGCGATGACTTACGAAGGCTTGAAGGAGATGACATACATGGACCAGGTTTTAAATGAGTCACAGAGAATCATAGCCGCAGGAGCAGTCTTGCAAAAAGAATGTACGGAAGAATGTGAGCTAAGAGGATCCGATGGATTGATTTGTTGTGTGCAACCTGGAACAGAGATTTTAATACCCGTCCAGGGTCTGCAGGAAGATCCTCGGTATTGGAAAAATCCTGAGGTGTTTGATCCTGAAAGATTTAGTCCAGAGAATAAACATAACATTCAGAAATTCACTTTTCTTCCCTTCGGTGAAGGTCCGCGAATGTGTGTCGGGATGAGAATGGGTCTACTGCAAATAAAGGCGGGTTTCGTTGCAATTTTGAGAAAATACAGCCTGGAACTTTCTCCGAGGACGCAAGTACCCTTGAAAATGAAAGTCAATACAATGTTACCAGCGCCGAAAGGTGGTCTGTGGGTTTTCTTTCGACAGCTTTGAAGTGTAAAAATCTTCTTTTAAACTGAAGTTATAATCAAGATTATTATGTAAAAGTAAAATATGTAGCTGATCTTTTTGTTTAGAAATAATTTTTTTAAGTTTCTTTTTAAAATTGCCATTTGTATAAAAATTTAAAAAAATATGATATGCATGTAGAGAATTGCACATATTTATAATACATTCTCTTTTTATCCATTATAACTTCATATATATTTTATACATTATAACTTCATATATAATTTATAATCATACTATTTTTTAAAATTAATGCTAAGTTATAACTGAGGTTAATTAATAAGCCGAAGGAAACTTTAATCAGTTATTTTAAACTTTAATCAATTATCGTAACATTTAAATTAACGCCTTAAGTATCTAATGATTTATAACGCTCAGTGAAAAATAACATAAGGTACTAAATAAGATAGAATTTTTATTCGCATAATATATATTTTGCTATCGATATTTTCTATTCTCGATTTACATTGACATTTTTGATATTTTTGAGAGAATCATTATGTTAATTTAACTGTATAGATTTTAAACGTTTAGAAAAAATAGTTGCATTTTTAATCTTCTAATATTTATCATTGTATTTCGATAAAGCGCAACTTGATTTATTTGCTCGCTCGCAAATAACAACGCGCCATTGTTTATTTGAGCTATATCTATGGTGCAAATAAACAATGACGCTGTGTAACGCCGAATTATTATTTAAATAATAAGACAAAATTAAAATTAAATTAAGAAAAACTGTTTTGATTATTATTCATAATCCTTAAACGAGTTTGTTATAATTTTGTATGTATATCAGAGAGATACACGTATCAAATATCGGTACAATTATTGATATAAAATGACAATAAAAATATATTAATAATTTGAAGAAATTCTTTTGTTGTTTTAAACACTTACTAATTTATTTATACTATTAAACAAAATATTTTTTTATATTTCAAAAAGAAGATATTTATCTGTGATGTAATAAATTAATAAATTCTATGACTTTACTTTTAGCACATTAGACATAAGACTATCGATGTCTTAACTTGTTAAAAATATGTATCTATAAAGTATTTAATGTACATTTATACGATATAAAATTATGTTATAAAGCAAATAACGATAAGTACGACTGTAAAGAGAGTTCTTTGTCTTAAATTAAAGTTCTCAAACTTCTTTAAAGATTTGTCAAATAAATATGTGCTTCGATACATCGAACATGTCATTACAAATATATCTGGCATATTAAAGCATCATAATGTTAAAGAAAAATATGATTAATTTGAATGCCGAAAATTAATGCCGTCAATAATATTTAAGCAATATTTAAAACAACAAGCAGGAAGAAATGAGAAAAAAATATAAAAAAAATTCTTAATTTCTTTAAAAATATCATTTTAGACGATCTATACATTGTTTATGATAAAATTTTATTTATAATTTTATTCTTATAAATGTATATATATATATATATATATATATATATATATATATACATATGTAATTTTATTCTTAAAAATGTCTGACTTTTCGCGTATTCTCTCCATTACACGGCATAAAATTATAAGTACAACTCTTTCTTGAATTTTACAAATTATAAATCATCTAAAATGGGTTTTACATCGCAAATAAACGATCAATTTTCAGATATTAATAATATCATCGATCCTAACCTTTCTATAGATGTTATTCCAGGATTTCAAATTCTGCCGGTAGAGATGCCGACTATAAGAATATGTGTCTTGTTTCGTTACCACTGCAGGTCCTGGACGGCCATTTGATAGGTAGGACTGTTGGTCGAGTAAAACTGCGAGTACCAACGCCGATATTCCCGGATGGCACGATCCTCGCTCACCAGCATCGGCTGCCGCTCATACTTTTTATGATTCCAAATCATGATGTCGCGCTCAAACATGACGCATTCGCCCAGGAAGACCAAATTGGCATAGGGCGCCATTAATGGTGGCGAAAAGATTTGATGAGTTACTCGTTGCAGCATCGGCTCGATCGGCGTGACCGTTTGCAAGATGCACATGGGGCCGAATGACGTGTTGATCAGCAGCTCGACATAACCAGGACCAATCTGCTCAACGTGAACGTTTAAGACAAGCACGTCGAAGCATTCCAATAAAGTTAAACTATGGCGCAATTGCAAGCCGGCCTTATGCTTTTCTCTTTGGCCGACTCCTTCGTTCTCGGCTGGGAAATGATAATGATTCTTTTCGTTATCAGCGATCGGATAATCGGTCAGTTCACCGTTCAATTTGACGCGCACTTCTGTTTTCTTCGCCACCGTCTCCTTGTCCATATCCATCTCATTATGCGAACAGTGCGGCCGCCATGGCACATCGGTAATCCAGGAGTGCCGAGCTAACCAAGGGACGTAGTCGGAGAAGAACATAAGTGGACCGTGCACTGCGCTGAGATGCGCGATGTCGGCTCCGTTCTCAGCTATCTCCTACATACAATATGTTACGTTAAATTTGAAATAAATCCTCCGAAATAAAAAAGTAGGCGAATAGAAGAATAAATTAAAAATAACTTTCTTCGTAATACTCTTCAATGTTAAGTTTATTTAGTTCATCTGTAGCCCTCGAGATTTAGATTTTTCAAATAAAATCAATAATTATTACATCATGCGGATACTTTTATCTTCTTTCTTATCTTCCTTCTCCGTGTATGAAATGATGATGGAGCGGTTTTATATCAGGAAATCGAGAGCGACAAACCTGTATGTGACAGCTGATGAAGAACTCATTGCGACCTTGGTAGCGCAGTGTCCCATTGGAGATCTGCTTGTATGGCTGTGGTTGCCAATCTGGTTCAGCGGATTCAGCGTGATACCACACGAAAATGATGTTATTCACTTCGCGACACTTCCAGGCTCTTGCACGTGCGATTACCGGCACTGTAGCGCGATGTAAGAGAAGAAATGCGGCAAGCGTTTAAATATGATTAGAATAAAAGAGATACGAATCAATAAAAAAATTTTCATATCTGATTTCAGTGATCAAGTAAACATATTTTACATAAATAAAGTATATCACAGTGTGTATACATATAACATATAATTATTAAAATCTAAAATTAAGAAAAAAAAAAACATTTCGTTGGATATCAATAATATAACTTGGGTTAATAACAAAAGTTTAAATTATGTTGATATACGAAGTATCGCAAAAGGCATCTAAATGATCAAAAATATTTACATTGTACATAATCGGGGATAGATTTTAAAAATGCACAAATATCTCAATACAGAAATGCGATTTTAGGATGCAAAAATATTCAGTTTTAATCAGCAAAATTGGGAAAAATATGTGAACGTTATATATATTAATTACCTTTTTCAGCATAAGGTATATTGTCACAACGACCATCCTCCCCGCGAAACGTCCAGCTATGAAATGGACATTCCAAGCAATCTCCTTTCACACGGCCACCCTCGCCCATATTTGCCCCTAAATGTGGGCAATATGCGTCTAAAATATTTACGACGCCTTTTTCGGTTCTTTAAGAAATTCAAAAATATTATGTAATAAACATAGAAATTATTTTAATTTTTTAAAATATAGAATCCTTCTCAAAAGTCTCAAACACGAAGAAATATTAATACGAAAAAAATTAATAAAAAAAAATTAAATTTAAACGATACTAATGTTTTGATTGCGCGTGCCAACTTTCAAAAATTATTGAAATCACCATGTTTATTATAATTATCTACAAATAAATTTATAAAAATTTGTCAAATCCTTTCATGTATAAAATGACATGTAAAATGGACATCACTTGTATGTACATTTAATCTATTCTAATTTTAAACTCATAAGCAATAGAAAGAACGTATGCATGTCAACATTATCAAAATTAATATATATGTGTAACATTAAAAACATTTAAAAAAATAACAAATTAAAGGATAGCGACAGTTGAACAAATTTTGATAAGTTTATCAAAAGAGATTTTGCGCACTCTGAAAGTACCTGAAAACTGCGAAATTCTCGCCGAGGGCGGACACGTGCTTCACCTGACCCTTTTTTAACTGCGAACTTTCGAGCAAAGCAAACCATCCGTTTGGATATACCGGTGGTAGTTTACCCACTTTTCGATTTTTGGATCTTGCATAAACATCGCCGTTGGTTTTACTTTCATTCCTCATATCCTTTAACACAATAAATATCGAGCTAATATTAGAGAACACCATAAATTTAAAAAGATTTTTTTAAAAATTTATTTGCGAAAAAAGAATTTAATTAATTTTGAAACACACTCTGTCCCTCCCTCTTCATTTTAAATTCTGATGAGAAAAAAATTTTTCTAAAAATTGATACATAAGATGATCATTTTACATGTTAATTGCAATTAATTTATCGATAAAAAGTAAATCTAAAGCTGTCTAATAGAATGTATACAACATAATAAAAAACCAGATAAAAAGTCTAGCGCAGAAAATAAGGCAAATAAAATATTAGAATTAAAAAAAATCTTTTAATTAGATATTTCGAATCAAAATTAGTCCATTATTCCAATTGTAATAATTTAATAAAATGATGTTAATTAATTTTTTAATCAATTTAGCCAATATTATTATTGTAATTCACGAATTGTTTCCTTTAATATTGAAGGAAATGCTTACGCGCGCAGTTGTTTGAAAAGATTGCTACTCACTTTGATCCAGTTGAACTTGAAGAAATACGCAAAATAGATGAGGACCAGCAGGGTGGTCGCAATTCCGATATACCATTCCAGCATTGTCCCTTTTCCCGATATCACGCTTGCACGGTGTCTTTCTTTCGACTCCCTTATCCCGACAGGTACAGCTCACAATTCTTGATTCCGTTCGCATGTGCACGGGAGATAAACGGGAGCGCGCAAAACAAAACGATGGCGAGAAAGGATGAGGAGATGGGGGTTAGAAAGAAAAAGAGAAAGAGTTGGAAGGATGTGGGGAGAGAAGCTACCGGCAAAGAGGACGTGCGTTCGTCGGAAGCTGGACAAAAAAAGGGCTAGAAGGACTCCTGTCCACGAAAGGACAGGACAAGAGGATAAGAAAATGAAAGAAAGAAAAAGAAAGATAACTTGCGGTATAGTTAGTTTGTTAATATGTAAGCGCACACATGCGTGTGCGTCAGTATGAGCGATGCGTATGCGAGGACAGCCAGAGGGAGAGTCGGCGACGAAGAAGTCTTGGAGAACGCGGTGGATCCAGAGGGTATGTGAGAAGGGAGAACGCGCCAGAGAAAGGGAAAGAAAAAGAAAGAGAGAATATATAGAATAAACAAAAAAGTCCGGGAATAAAGAAAGAAATCGAATCACTTTTACAAAGATTAAGGCAATTGGGAAGTTTATTCGCGGTTTTATATATTCGGATCCGCCGTGTCTGCCGAATTGTGTTTCTTTTTCGAAGCACCACGACTGACTCGGGGCTGGAAGTCAACAGCGTCGTGTGTCACGTAAGTTGTCCGATTATGTATGCCCGGCCACGGGCAAAAGACGCGACGAGTCAACAGCGGCTTATATACCACTTATATCATCGGATCTAAAACTGCGACGAGTTTAAACCCTTCGTCCTCTTCTCCTTCTTTCTCCTTCTTTTCTCTCTTTACTTCTACCACTTCTTCATCGCCCTCTTCGGCCGACCAGCGTGTCTCCTTTTATCGAGATTGTATATCGATCAATGCTTCAATGCTCGCCGACGTATACGTCAATCCATTCGTTTAGCATATTGATCTAGCGGACAGAATCACGGGGATTCACATTTATATTCCTATGAAAAATTCTTTTGCATCGCTAACACAGACGAATGTTTCCTCTTCTCTTCTCATTTTCTTCTTGTAAAAGATTTATATATTTTTCTCTCCTCGGTGTATCTTTTCTTGCGAATGCGTTGGATGACAGCATCACCGTGATCATCATTGATAAGTCGCACATATTCTCTCTCCTTTCCTCCTTCTAGTTCCTCCTTCGTCATCTTTAAACGAAAGTTAGTCTTAGTTTGCGAAATAGTAAACTTTGATATCGTTTTTCGAACATTATCCGACATGTATCATGTGAATGACACATATCAAATGAAGAATATTGACCTTATTCATCGAAATAAAATATGAATAAAGATAAAATATGTAATAAAGCATAGTCGACATATTCAATAAAATGTAAAAAAATTTTTTAATTTAAACTTTTTTAATTTAAAAGAATGACAAATAAGAACTATATACAGATAAGAAATAATATATATATTTTAAGAATATATAAGAAATATAGAATAAGAAATATATATATATATATATATATATATATATATATATATATATATATATAAATGACAAATACAGCAAACGATTATTAATTCTTTATCCAATAAGGATAGCATTTATAAATAAATGTGATCATGTAATTGAGTAGCAAGAGTAAATAATTATTATTTTCAAGAGACATTCTTAAGTGTTTCATACAATTTTAGTTTAAAGCAAAATTAAATGCTTTCTATTTTATTAAATAATTTATCCCTAAAGAACAAGAAAAATTAGAACAGAGAGAATCAATTGGCATTTAAGAATCTATTCTGAAAAATTCATAGTTTAATGTATATATCAATGAGAAATAAGCATCACCTATCTTCCTTCTTATTATCGAGTATAAAAGGATCTATATTTCTGAGAAAAAACCAGTTTTATCATTTGAAATCGATACAATTTAATAAAAATAATTTTTATTTTTCGAATTATACTATTGCTTGAAAAATATAAATGAAAAACGGAAAAAGCGAATGACCCCTACCAGCAAGTATAATTCGGGATCAAAAGGCAGAGTGAGAGATTCCAAGTGAGAAGGATATTTAGAATACCCGGTCGATGCGACCCGCTTTTGCAATTTAAAAATCTGTCGGGCCACTGTCCGTCACCGACTATGTTAAGCATACCGGATAAGTATACGGTCGCTCGTAATCTTGAGGTGGTAACGCGCTGCATCCCTGATGTGAATATACGCTGAGAGAACGGATTAATTATTCAAACGCGTACCACCCAAGACAAGAAAGTCCCCGGCGCGAGATCGGCGGTGCCGATAAGATCGCCTCGTAAATTCACCAAATAACGCGTTTTCCCTTTTATCAAGATGCTTGTGTCTCTCTTTCTCTCTCTCTTTCTCTCCTTCTCTCCTCTGTTTCTTTCTCTTTCCTGTGGCCGAAAAATTCTAACGCTTCGCGTTTTGTGCCGCCGCAGCGTAATATTATTCGGTGAAACGACGGTAATGAGATCGTTCTCGTTCGTTTGCTTGCACCTAACTCCATATCAAGCAGAATCGAAAGGTAATGCGTGTCATGCTGCGTGGCCATAATTAAAATATTTCAACAATGCATGAAGCTCGAAAGTGCTTAACTGCGCCATTTCTCGCGTCGGAGAACAGGAGCGAGATCATCTTTCAATGTATTAAACTTGCATAACGTGCTTACCGCCTTGTCGCTTTGATCTGAATGACTTTCCTTTGAAGTTTTTTTTCTAAGAATCTTTAAGAGAGATGATGTCTTGCAGCAAAAGATCCACATAATCCTAACTCCAAGGATGATATTCTGATGCAAAGCGCTTCCATCAAGTCGAGTACCTTTAATATTTGAATGAAAAATTAATTAATTATCCATACATTATATTTTATTATATATTAATTATTATATTTATATATTTTATTATTATAATTCATATATTTTATTATTATAATTTATATATTTTATCATATTTCATTGTAATTAATTATTATTATAAATAATTATTATTATTATTATAATTTATATATTTTATCATATTTCATTGTAATTAATTATCCATATCACATTACAATATATATAAAATGATATAAAATAATATAAAAATTATATATAAAAATATATAATATAAAATTAATATATAAAAATATATAAAAAAATTTTTTTCTTTATCTTACATACAGAAAATATCATTAAAAATTAAATAATAATGTATTGTTATTTACTAAAAATGCACTCTAAACATTTCCTAATTAAAGTCATAAATATTTCTTAATTAGGAATTTGTAAATTAATAACAATAAAGAAAACAATTGATTAATACTTTATACGTGTCATTATATGAGATGTAAAACGATTAAAATTAATTGCAAAGTTTTCGAAGATAATCGTATAAAATTTATAATAATCTTGTGTTAAATCTTGTTAAATCATGTCTGGTTGTTGTTATTTTTGAGAAACGTTATAATCTTCAACAACATGCATTGCGGGCGAACAGATTTTATAGAAATACTATTAAAAAGATGTGTAAAAAAAAAAAATATATATATATATATATATATATATATATAAAATATATATATGTATATATGTATATATTTGTTGTAAAGAGATTATAACTGATATCCATGACGACGAAAATTGTAATTTATATAATGAATACATAATAAAATAAAAACGTTATGAAATATTTGTATACTCTTTTTATAGATCTTTCGTTGCAAAATACAGGATAATATTTTCTCTATTAAAATATATATATTATTACATTTTTGTCGTTATCGTCCATGTTTATTTTGTTGAAGTTATCGCTTTGAACTCTAACTATAATATTTCGAAGAAAATGTTAATATAACATATTTTAAATTATATTGACTTCAATTATACAAAGCTAGCGATTAGAAATAATGATCTTTCTCTGTATTTTTCTCATCCGCGAATTTACTTGAAAACGAATTCAAGATTGAATTCCAGATTAAAATTCGTCAAATAAAGGAAATTAATAACGTTCATTACACATACATACATACATACATATATATATATATATATATATATATATATATATATATATATATATATATATATATATATATGCGTACGTCTAGACACGATCATTCAAAGGTAAAATATTCCAACTTACAATAACTTAGTATAAAGAAGCGGAGTAAAGAGGTCTTATCATTGATCGAATGTTCAAAAAGGATATATTCTTCGTATCAGACGTGACGATTTTTTCTCTCCATTGCAAAAATACGTTTACCGCCTTTTCTACTGTACCTAAATGAAAAGCTTGAGCTTGAGCGAGCTTCGATAGAGACAAAGATTTCTGCTACAAGTTGTTAGAAATTTTATTGTTGGCAACTCTGCAATTCAATCGAATATAAAGGCTTATTTTCAAGAAACACGCGATTGGCTGTAGACTAGAAACTTTTGGGACTCTAGGAATTTTCTATTCGACAGCCAATTGTACATCATTGATTGGAAATGGAATCTTAGCACGAAAGCTTCGAGCTTGTTTTCCATCTACGTGTAACGAACAAACAGTGGTCTGTCGTTGAAGCAGAGTTGATATAGTGCATTTGCGAGCAAAACTTTTAATTTTGATAAAGACGGGATTTTATATACAAAGAATCGTACAGTTTGTCTGACAAACGGTATAGAGTCGAGCCTTTTTACTCTCGGTTCAAACGAGATCTCAAGATGGGTGTGCCGAAATTCTTTAGATACATAAGCGAGAGATATCCCTGCCTCAGTGAGGTCATAAAGGAACATCAGGTATTCAGAAAAAAAAACAAGAAAAAAATACAATGTTATCTTCGAGTAATGAGCATTTTTCTATCTTTTTGTTCATTTGCATCGTGTTCCTCCATAATTCGCAGAGTTTATCTTCTCTTAAATAGTTCACTGTGTGTGAAATAAGAAATGCAAGACTTATGATGGATATTATATACTTCATAGTTTTGTACTAAAAAAGAAAAATTTGTATTAATATCATTCTCTGTTTTTTTCAGATACCAGAGTTTGATTATTTATATTTAGATATGAATGGTATCATACATACATGTTCACATCCTAATGATGACGTTTGTTTCCGTATCTCTGAGGAAGATATTTTTAAAAATATATTTCACTATATAGAAGTGTTATTTAATATGATACGCCCACAAAAGTTGTTCTTCATGGCGATAGACGGTGTAGCGCCTAGAGCTAAGATTAATCAACAGAGGGGACGACGGTTTAGAGCTGCCAAGGATGCAGAAGTACAAGAGGCAAAAGCTAAGGCAAAGGGTCTTGAGATACCCAAAGAAAAGAGATTTGACTCAAATTGCATAACTCCAGGAACACTTTTTATGGCTAAACTTGGCGAGCAGCTCAAACTTTTTGTTGAATATAAAGTTTCTATGGATGATACCTGGAAGAAATGTAAAATATTATTCAGTGGATCTGAGGTATTTTTTTCTAACATTGTAATATATTAAAAAAAATTAATATTCGTTCTATCTTTATAATAGTGTAACATATAGGTGAAAATTTGAATAGAATAAGAATAACAAATAAAGTATTACTGTTTCAGGTTCCTGGAGAGGGAGAACATAAAATTATGGATTATATAAGATATATGAAAGCGAGCAAAGATTACAATTGTAATTCTAGGCATTGTTTATATGG